AGAGAATTGTTGATCGTTAATCGAAATATTCGCGAAGAAGAAATTATCGTGTGCTGCGAAGAAAGTGAATAAAAGTCACGACTTGTGGAAATTGTGAACGATTTTATTTTTCTTTGTGATTCAACGTTTCGAGGTCCTCGATCAATCCCACTTTCGCGAGGACGTGTATGAGGGCACGCGATACAAAAGATTCAGAGGGGCCGGATAGACTATTGTGAAAGCTTAGTGAATGATAGATGAAGGCCCGTCACCTGAGAAGGGCGGCCACTCAAGTCATGAGAGAGCAATTCTTGAATCTCAAATCTCTTCCAATCTCTTCCACAAATTCCCTCCACTCGATCCAATTAGAACACCAAAACCATCGAAATTAACCCAGTCTCGCACTCGATCGTAGAGGAAGAGGTCGAAAAGCGACGAAGAAAATCCTCGACGCACCCCCATAAGGAATAAGAAGAGGAAGGCCAAGTATTTAATCGAAGAAATTTTGGCGTAAATCAGCGGATCAAGCTGGTCGGTTTATACCTCGGCTTCCAAGAAATATTTTAACTGCCCACCCGTAAATCGACCATTTAGCCTCGTATCGTTTAACGCGCGTTCGAATAAAAGCGATATTTCCGCCCGGTTTCGCGCGCTCCCGGATCGAAACGATCCATTCTCACCGAGTCCAATTACCATTGGACGAGAATTGGACACATTAACGAATACAGATCCTTGGAGGTTTTAAGACATCAATACTCTTTGAGTTGCAACGATTCTTTTTGAATTTGAATTTCAAAATTTTGTCTCGTAACAAAGGAGAAAGCGCGCGATTCTGTTTCTGAATTTTCTGTAAAGGATGGACGAATGGATGACATAACGAAATAAAGTTAGGCAGAATTTCTCGAATCGGTTACTTACGATCAATCTCGTGCGTAACTGCATCGTTGGACTGGAAACTTTTGGGTCGGATGCCGCTCACGATCCCGTTGGAGGGCGAGCGAAAGAGGCAAGGCTGGTGGGTGAAAAACTCGAAGGTCGGGTAACGGCGGATAAGCGAGACAAATCGCGACGAGGAGGAATTGGAAAGCGTGACGATTGACTCGGCGCGACATCGGTTTTTGGCCGAGAGAAGCGGGGCCGACTCGAACACCCGTGAAGCCTGTCGGGGACCGCGGCAAGGGACGACAAAGGAGCCGGCCTCGGGAAGAAAGAAAGGGCCGGTAACTCGAGAGGTACGGTGCACGTGGAAATTTGGATTTTCTGCTGGAAATTTTTAAACGTTGAAAATTGTTTGCCTCCTCGATTAGAGGATTCGGGTAATTTTGGCCATCACAGCGTGGATTGGGCTGGGTTTTGTCCTAGGATTTGTGAACGTATCAATGGAATTATAGACTTTAGAAGTGACTCGGCGAAACTGTTCATCGTAGAAATTCGAAATTCGTTCTGAAACGTTTCGTTCCCTCCCTCGGAATTCGATAATATCGATCATCGAATATTTTCAAAAAGAAGAAGAAGAAGAAAGAAAGAAGTTAAAAATTCTTTCTCGATCGAATCTCTTCTGCGGCATCTCTTCTTTCTTTCTTCCTCTTCTTCTTCTTTTTGAAAATATTCGATCGAGATATTCGCCCCGTCGCTCGATTCGTTTCCGGTCGAGCGCCGCCGCCATTTTCCCGCCGGATCCAATCTAATTTCGCTGGAAAACGCTCAACAGATTCCTTGTCGCCGTCGACGTCTTAATGGAACGTCAGGTTTATTCCACGCGGCGGGAAAACCGGAAGTGCGCGTTGGAGACCGCCCCGTTTCCTTAATGGGTCGCGTGGACGGCGACCCTGTTTTATCGCGCTCGATTTTTCGCAAAAAAGGGGAGGAAGAAACCGAGTGAAATGAAATCGATGGCGCGTTTCCGCTCTGCGTGTGCGAAGGAAGGATTATAAGAACAGAAGAACTTTTATCTTTACACGATACGTAACGGATACGTAAAATATTTCAATTCAAAATCTTCAATTTATTATCAATCGACAATTTTAATTGCTACAATGTTTCCGTATTATTATCACAGAACAAACTTCTTCTCGAAAGTATAAACATGAATGGTCCCTGCGCGCAAATATTACGCCGGATACAAACGAAATATAAACATTCGTATTTATCGAGAAGCGGATTTTCATTCGAAATCGCTCGTGGTGGCGTTCTTCCTTTCCTCGCGCCGCGAATTCGGCCAATCCTCGAGTATTAATTTATATACGGCCGAAAATAGTAGTTGGCCGTATAAATTCCTTATTCTCTTGTAGAACGTGGCTGAAGGAATCCCGGGGGGGAGGGAGGCGAAAATAAAGGGCGAGTTTAAGGAGCGCGCGCATAATTCGATTAAAAGTTCATTTACGAATTACACGTTAAGTCGGGAGTTAAATCATCAGGTGCAGGTGTATCGTACGTTATGCGCGGGCCCTGTTCGCTCGTGCCTCGAGCTGATTTATTCGATGTAACGAAGCGAAGAGTCTAGCGGGATTAAAAAAAAAAAAAAAAGGGAATCGTTGAGTTATAGTCCGTTCAAAATCAATTGACTACCGAAAGCTGTTGAGACACGAAGACCCGTTAACGAGTCTTGTTCCTTCTTCGCTCCACAACGATTCTTCACATCGTAGTTGTATCTTTCTTTCTTTCTTTCTTTTTAATTGTAAAAATTGAAAGGTTTTGTAAATATCTCTTTCCCTACGCGTAACGTAAGGTTTTTGTTTTGCTCGATTTGTCAGTGTACGAAGAATAAGGAAGTAATAACGGTTTTTCTGCAATTGGATAATTCGAAAGGATATGGTTACCCACCATCGTTCCATTCACGTACGAATAGTTGACGAAGGGTCTATAAAATATTATTGCAATCAGTCAGGATTATATTTATAACGCTGTGTTAATCCTCTAACGAGAATCGTATAAAATAAATCAATCGTACGGGGCAAATGGACACCCACCGATTAACATTTAAGTGATCGTATTGTGAAACGATACGACTTGAACGATCATTCGAAAACGTTGTTATATACAAATTGTTCAAGTTTCACCATCGATACGAATTATTTAACATCCAAAGAAGGATGTCGAAACAATGGAATCAACGCGGATCGACTCGTATCGTGTTTCGAGGGTCGCTGTTATTAAAAAGTCGAGGAAACAGGGGGGAGGAGGAAAGCATCCTATAAGAGGCAAGTAAAAACGCGTGACGTCCCTGCGATCTACCTATGTGCCGCAGGGGACCACCCGCACGCAACCTGCGTCACTTTCTTTTCTTTTCGCCTCTCCCCTTTTCCTTCATCTCTCTCTCTCTCTCTCTCTCTCTTTCTCTTCTCCTCCTCCTTTTCGTCTCTCTATCCGCGAATATTCTTCCTTCTTCCTCTTCTTCTTCCTTCACCTCTCGTCTCCGGTTCTTCTCTTTCCTTATCTCTGCCCCCTCGAACGCAGTCTCTCTTTCTCTCCATCCGTGTCGGTTCGCGTCCCCTTTTACGGATTTACGAGTCGACCAGACTTTACAAATGGACACACTGTTCCTTTCTGGGGCAACGTGTCGCACGTGGTTCCCTCCTTTCCTTCGCGAAAGGGCGTCGTGTTTCGGTGTCGCGCGCCTCCAAGGGAACGAGATAATAGAAAATGATACATCGTATCGCGAAGAGGATGTTGAAATATATTCGTGGGATCGAAATATTATATCGATTTATCGTAATTTAATAAATAAATAACCGATTTTTCTGATTTCGAGAGAAGTGTGCGCGTGTACAGGATAATTAATTTAGAGAGAAAGATCGGATCGATATAATATCGCAAATTTATCACGTTCAATAAGAAATTGGGACGACGACTCGAAAACTTGACATTCGTATTCGAGAAAGAAATTCTCCTTAAAACTGATTGTACATCATCCCGATATAATAAATAAATCGTTGCTCCCCAAAGTTACCCAAACAAATTACAATACTTCCCCGAAAACAATTTAATTCGTACTTTTAACTTTCCATGATCGCCCAAAGAAAAGATGAATAATAATCGAACACCTGTCTTAACTACCTATCCTCTCAAGAACCTGTACACGCGGTTTACGTCAATCACGGCGATCAGAGAGAGAAAGAGAAACAGTTTCACCTGCCGCTTCTCGTCACGCGCCATCACGACATTCGAAAACGAGATAAATCAAATGGACGAGTAGAAGAAACGAACGAGTAGAAGAGAAATATATATATATATATAGAGTGGAAAAAAAATATATTTTCGATCACGATTTCGATCATGCGCCATCACCAGCCAGCCAGGGGTTATAATTCCGTGGACTTTCATTTCACGCCAGGACAACAAATGTCCCGTGCCGCAGCTGTTTTTGACAAATCTGGCAATCGTATTTCATCCCCGCCTCGCAACATCGACTGCTGCCCCGTGTTCGACCCCCCAGTTTTCCCGCGCTTCCGCGATTTCTTTCCTTTCCTTTTTTTTTCTTTTTTCACTCGCCTTCGAAACAAAGGAGAGGACGGAGATCGAGGCGATCGATTTTTCATCGAGATTCAAAAAAAAAAAAGAGAAAAGAAAAGAAAACGCACGAAACGAAACGAAGACGACAAAAGAGGATGGAGATCGAGGCGATAGGAAGCGTTAATTCGAGTCTTCATCGATTTTTCATCGAGATTATGAGAGAATTCACCCCTTTTTTATTTTTCGAATATAATAATAAAGATCGGAAAAAGCATAATTTTTGATCGAGTCGAATAGCTTCT